AAGTGGTGTATTGACTCTTATACTGGCTGAGCTTGTTTCTTAAACAAGTTTTGATCCTTTGATAGTCACTGCATATTTCCTCTGATATTTTAGACTTATAATATTTCATCCTTTGATGTTGGTGTGAATCCTACCATCCTAGGCCTCCGAAGCACCTCTTTTAAATCAAAGTTTAGGTGTCAACTCTTAGATTTTGTGATTTCATAATACAGGTCATCATTAACACATGTAGTTACTGGATACATAATAGCACTATCATATCATTATAAAAACTAATAAGTAATCTTACACTTACCTCCGTATCTTTATAAACCAATAAGCAACCATTCTTTTTTTATACACATGCTGATATTGTCTCGCCTATAAGCCTATAATATCCATGACTCGCGCTTAAAAAACAACTACAACAGGTAACTAATTGATTGTGTCCAATCTACAAGCTGTATTTAAGGCTTTAAATGAGATTAGGGTAGTTATATATACAGTAAAGTGGAATGACATACCTTCATTCTGAAGTCCCAATCGACTCAATGTCTTGGGGTAAAATGAGAATATATACCCAGAAAGATACTAACACCAATTTGGTCAACAAAGAAATGGATTGCCACCATTAATGTTTCCAACTTCCTATAAGTACTGTTATAAATATTGTATATTGCACTTTGTTTACACACATTGTATCAACATCATTCACATTACTTAGTTTTGTAAACTGGAAAAGACCAAGGTCATCTATTTGGCATAGCAAAATAGCTAAGAATGAATTCAAGCAAGTGTTAAAATGTGTGGATTCTGAAAACAAAATCATGATTGGGAAAACTAATCCTTAGATCACAAGTTTAGACTGCTTTGTGAAGCATAGATGAGAACTAAGATATTGTAGAGTGACATTGCACTAAATTGCTCAAGTACAAAGTATGCAGTCATAATGTGCTGTAAGAATAGGATTATAGATTATGTAGTAAAAAATAATGATGCCTTAGGCACAGAGTAGTCTGTAATCTGTGAAGCAATATCAAAATCTATACAAACTGACATTATAAAAACAAATCATTTGTGGTGGTTGCTTATACTTTCTTCCATGGTATGTGTTTATGTTTCTGACTCTTGAAATTGTTCGGTCATGCCTTCTTTTGAAGGTTCTGGGTCTACCACAAAAAATAAAAATCTTCAATTATAACTGAAAGGTTGTCACTTCTGAAATCCTCTTCGGCTTCATTTCCATAGCCACATTCTATTTTGGTGGATTAAAAGAACTCTTTTCCATTTCATTGGTAGAATGAACTTTGTTGTTTTCTATAGAAGAAAATAACAAAGAATAAACATGGTCCGACTTGCCTATCTGGCATACTATTCAGATGACTAAAATCGGTATTTTCCTATGGCAGTGCTTCAGAACAAATATTTCCATTCCGGAGAGTTTGTCTAAATTTCAGCTTCAACTGCTTGCTATTTGTTATCTTTTTTTAACATAGACCCCTGACCAAATCATATCATGCATTCTTGGTCTTTTATACCTAAATTTTGGAAATATTTCTCGGCCATTTTGGATGTTAATTAGCAGGTGAATAGCTCTTTCAAACAAAGATGTTTCAATTGTCGGCTTGCTACTAAAAACGATGCTTTGGATGATCAATCGTGGTTCTTCCTGGTGTTATAGGCTGGTACATTTGGAAGACATATTCCAAAGCTTAGTGGACTAATGAAAGATACACATCTCAGATAGTTATTAAACAAATAACATCTCACATGGTACATTAGTGTTTGGGTGAAGGATAAAATATCATCCTTCAAAGTTCAAACAAAGCAGATTGAAAGTCAATGTACTCATGCCAAGCATAGTACTGTCATTTAGAAGATCCAAATCAATCATTCCAGAGACAAGCATTGACATGCAACCTTAAAGGGAGGCCATTCTATGAAGCATCCGACTTTCACATGTTTTAATAGAATCATGTAACTTCCACCTTTATATTATAGAAAACCATTATTTTAGATTCTTTTTCTGTGCTGACCGGATTACATGCCACCGTTGACAAATCTTGATCACATGTCTTGATGTCACCATAAAACAATATTGGGCATTATCTTTTCGCGCAACGCGCGTCATATAACTTGTGTTTAGATAAAGATGGTTGAAAAGACAATTTTCATTTGGATGCAACAAGAGTCAGCGGCGGACCCAAAAGAGGGCTAATGCCCCCCCCCCCCCCCCCCCCCAAATTTGTTTTTCCATAGGCATATATATGTACCTCAGAATTTTAATATATATGTATTTGTATGTATATTTTTACAACGCCGCCCCTCCTAGAGGAAATTCTTACGTTCGCCATAGACAAGAGTTATAAAATATTGGCTCTTTTAAATATTGGATAATATAGACTGAGAACATGTTTAAATAATTAGTTAAAAAATGAAACATACTCAATAAATAAGAATATACATTATTGACCAATGTTATAATCGATTAAGTAAGAGACTTTCCGTTAGTTCTAATAACTTATACATCAGTGCGTGTGCGCACACATATATAGTAAAACTAAAACAAAATCGTTTAAGGGCGGAGGTAGGGGAGGGGGGGACCGGGCCACGGCTCACCCTAAATTTTTAAATTCTTTGTACTTTTAGTCTAAAAATTTATGTGTAAAAATTTATCTGAAAAAATTCTTTATACCAACTCACTCCAAGCTTCGATCTTGACTACGGCCTTGAAATCGTTCCCTGTGCACGGCACGGGTAAATATACTAGTTGTTGGGATATATTATCCCGGCCTATTACTGTTCAGGAGCCCAAGACTTTACGTAGTACGGAGCCCAATCAGTAAGGCCCATTTTAGCCTATCAGGCCTGTTACGGCCTTTGGGCCCAGTTTGGCCCATTCGGCCCGTTAGGGTGGAGAGCCCCCTTTCCCCCTATTCCCTATAAATAGGAGGTTTCCCTCCATGTAAAAGGATCCCTTCCTTCTTTCTTCTTCTCCCTAGAATAGTTTTGCAACACTCCATTAATGGAGCTCAAATTGTACTATGTAATGGTGAGGAGAGATTAATGAGAATGAGAGGGCTTGGACATTAGCCTAAAAAGTCCCGTGGTTTTCTCCCTTTCGGGTTTCCACGTAAAAATAGTTTGTCCATACACATTTATACATATATTTACTATATCGTGTTGGATTAAACTCAACACTAGTTAAGAAATCAATTCAAGAAATTTATTAAAAACACACGAATAATCGGTTGTATTTTCGTGATTATTCTACCTTATATATATAGAGATAGTGATCATTTCCCCTCTTATATATGTCATATGATTAATTATCTTCTTGATTTGTTTTGTATGCAATTACACTGCTAAGGAACAATATCAGGTTGGCTTATAGTTATGGGGGGAAGGGTATATCATACAGCCAGTTTCTCTTAAATGAGCATTGATGTAATTTGGATGAGCATCGAGTCTGTTCTTCTGAGTATTAGGAGCCCAAAAATGAGCACCCGTGATTTGTACTTCATATCTTCTAATTCAGTTTTTTTTTTGTTTATAAAAAATTCTTCAATTATGTTTATAATTAATTTCAATATGTGAAACTAATGTAGTATGATATGTTTGATATGTGAAGAATTTTAAAATGAGCATAAAGCAGTATCAAATGAGCATACATAATTTACAAAATGAGTATCAAAAAATTCAAAAGTTCATTTGTGTATGCTCATTGATTTTGGGCGTTAAATTTGAATCCATATGAATCTAATATATAAATTTGATGTAATATTATACTTTTGAAATATGCATGAATATGATATTTTAAAATGAGTTTATACCAATATCCAATGAGCATACATAACTTACAAAATGAGTATAAAAAATTTTGAAAGCTCATTTGTGTATGCTCGTTCATTTTGAGTATTGTACTCATTTTAGTTTAACATAAAACTCAGTTTCAATGTGTTCGATGTTAATTTGTGTGAGTTCATTTCTTTAAGGCGTATACTCATTTTTTTAGACGTATACTAATTTCTTTTAGGCTCATTTAAAATCTCTACCATACTCAAAATTTTATTGGTGTATACTCATATCTTTAAAACTAAGTACTCCGTATAATTTAGGTATCCCTTGACCCAAAAGCTACCCAATTAAAAAAATTGTACTCTGTACAATTTCGTATACTCAAAATTTTATTTGTGTATACTCATCTTTAAAACAAGTTTTTACCCTTAGGAATCTTAACTCCTTGAGGGGGAAGTCCCTTTATAAAGGGTTGCAAATCCTTTGGATTTTCCGGTGTGGGAAATAACACTAGAAACTCATCCTTTTTCCCAGTTTTTTCATTCTAACGGGTAAACTACGAGAATCAATTTCTCATTCACCCGTTATCCATTTTGAGCGTACCATATATCGAATTGTAGCCCTTAACAAGGACAATCCGAAACCACTTTGACCCAACCCAAATCGGAAGTGGACCCCACTCAAAAAATTGCCCCAAAATTACCATTTAATGCAATTTTTCACACATTTTTCCAACAATTTAATATGAGTTGCACTTTAATTTAGGCCTATTAACCACTTTGTAATACGTAGGCTAAACTCCCTTACTTATATAACTAGTCTTTCACTCGTGCGTTGCACGGGATACAAATCAGATAACAAAATATTTATGAAATAAGGGCTTTGAGCTAAATATTGCTAAAAAGTATAAAATGGGCAAAAACAATATTAGAAAATTTCAGAAAATGTAATTAATATGTACTTCGTATTAAACTTATTACTAACTTTACCTTGATGACTTTAACTGCCTCAGTGACTTGACTTGACAGAAATCACCGCATTAGTGAACATTGTCACTGGTCAGTGGTCACAATGACCATCTTTCACCCCGCCAATGACCATCCATTCGTGTCCACCGGCCGCCATATCAGTAGCCACCGCCACTCAGTCCTGATCTGTCGCCCTAGCCGATGACCAAATGTTCCTCCCAAACCACTCCCCCAGCCCCTACCCATCAGTGTTATCCCACACAAAAACAAAAATGGAGAAATAGGGTGAATCGCTATTGTAGGTCTAAACAAAAAGATTTAGACAAAAGGATTTCCGGTAGAAAATTAAAATTAATTAATTACAGGAAACAAAAGGAGCCCCAACAAACAAAAAAAATCCAGTTCAACGTTGATGTACATAGTTTGATGTCAGATTTCTCGAAAATCTTTGTTAATTCTCCCAGCCCAAAAAATCGCCATGGACTGTCAAATTCGAGCTATTAGTCATCGCATGACGAAGGTCCTCACTGGATCCACAAAACTTGCAGTTGGAGAGTGAAGCTTGTGCCAGACCAACAAAGCTCGTCGCTGGATCAACGATGTTTCCGCCGAATTGATGAAGCTCATCGGCCATTGATGCAGACATCATTGCTATTGGAGGTGCTAGCTCAACTTGGAGAGGATGGACAAAGGTATTTCCTTAAGCGTCAGTGTAGGTGCTCATCGATGCAACTTTGAGAAGATGGCCAATGGATCGGGAACACCATTGGAGAAGATACACAAGCTGCCGCAGAACCCGTGAGATCAGAGATGAAGACCACAAAGTTTACCTTAACCTTCAGATTGGATACAACCCTACCTGTCACAATAATTGGTAGAAACAACACCACTATCTTTAAAAATTGATCATGAGTCCAAGAATATGTTGCACCGAACCCAAATGAAGTTGTTAAATATTAAATTGAGAGTCACCCGCTCCCCTTCTCGCCTCCCGGTCCTGCACAATGTAATATAAGTAACTCCACGTGCATTACTAATTTCCAGATGCATTACTAACCATTTACTCTGGGAATTAACATAATTTAAAATTGACCCTAATAAGGTACTCTCTCTGTCACCATATCTGAAAAAGTAAGTTAGAACTAAAAAATTATACGAAATTATAATAGTTAATTTCGTCCATAATGTATACTTCGTACAACACAAGGACGTTATATGATCGCACGATCACAATTCACACACATAATTCAATATGAGAGTTCAAATGCACAAACAAAAGCATCCTCACTTAAAGGCCCTTCGGAAGAACTGTCAATTCTTATAACTTTATCACCACCATCCCTCCAGGCTTCTATCATCACTATCAAAATTCTTCAAACAAATCAAATTTAATAGAAATACAATATAAAATATTGATCATTTTTCAAAGGTTATTTTATTAATAACTAAATCAACATGTGACTATTAGGTCACTTACTATACTAACCAAAGGATTCGGCTGCTTAAAAATTCTGAAATCACATTTGTAACTTACCCATGTAATGACTGTCAAGTTTGGGTCAGATTATGCTATTGGATACAAAGTTAAGTTATATCATTTAAAAGTCACGTGCTTTACATACATTAGATCTATTGGCTAAGAAAACAGTATGAAGACGATCCTTTTCCTTCACTTACTATCAGCATACATTTGTATTTATCTTGAATTTTGTGAATTTGAAAGTGTATAGAAAACTTGCAAAAGGTTAAACATTATAGGATTACATTATGCCTTTGTTTTAGGTATTCTCTCCTAGACTCAAACACTGCACCTTTTCTACAATTCGCAATTACTCATTCATCAATTGTACCTATTTAAGAACTCTGAAGAGCCTAATTAAAGAAATTCTAACAAATTAAAAGACGGCAAGACGCAATCTCATCACCATGAACTTACTGTATAAACCAAGTGAATTTGTTATAGTAACCAATATGTTAAAGAACGGGAGAAGCAGTTAAATAGCATTAAATGTTTTTTTCATAGCATTAAAAATTAAGAATTGGATATTTCTTCTTTTCATAGCATTAAATATTTTTTCTTTTTTCATAGCATTAAAAATTAAGACTTGGATTTTCTGAATCTTGCATGGATATGAAATTCTCTGTGTGCAGAGATATATCTAAACAGAAAATGAGGTGTGGAGGGGAAGAGAGTGATATCTCAAAACAACAAACATATGTGGTATACATTACTATTCAAAATAGTAGACAAAATAAAGTGTGCATGTCAAAGCAATGAATCATATTAAGGTCACCAATAAGTAAAAAAAAGTAAAACCTTATCACATTTCTGGTAGATCTCCCTCGTATCATCTCCGCTGCAAATGCAGATAAAAACATATAACAATGAAAAATGGCTCTATTAGTTCTCCAAGAAAAATGAACTGAGCAAGTAAAAAATGCAAAGAGAAAAATTCTAATTCTAATAATTCTAAATAGCCATTTTTTAAAAATGCTCTTATAACGGATAGTGTGAATAAGTGAGATTCAACATACATATCTGAGATGAAAGCAAGTAAATCAGACAAAGAGAAATACCAGTTTTTAGTTAGTCCATTTTTACATTCTTACCAGAAAAAATATAATGGATCCCACAAAAACAATTTTCTACGCTCCCTGCATATCTCAAGTTTTGGGGGGAAAGTATTAGTAAGGCTTCAAAAGTGATTGAGGCAAAAATGATATGGGAAATTTTACGTAATAAATGTTTAATGTGTTCCAAACTTCCAAACAGTAGAAACGAAGCAACATATTTGACTAAGCAAGTAAATTAAGCAAAGAAGAAATTCCAGATTGTAATCAATCATTTGTTTTAAATAATTTAATACCAAGTAGTGCAAAGAAGGTGGATTTAACATACTAAATTTTGTCTACTACTTATTCAAAGCAGTAGACAAAATAAAGTGTGCATGTCAAAGCAATGAAGCATATCAAGGTCACCAAGAACGGCAAGAAGTAAAAAAAAGTAAAACCTTATCACATTTCTGGTAGATCTCCCTCGTATCATCTCTCCTGCAAATGCAGAAAAAAACATATAACAATGAAAAATGGCTCTATTAGTTCTCCAAGAAAAATGAACTGAGCAAGTAAAAAATGCAAAGAGAAAAATTCTAATTCTAATAATTCTAAATAGCCATTTTTTTAAAAATGCTCTTATAACGGATAGTGTGAATAAGTGAGATTCAACATACATAACTGAGATGAAAGCAAGTAAATCAGACAAAGAGAAATACCAGTTTTTAGTTAGTTCTTACGGGAAAAAATATAATAGATCCCTCCAAAAACAATTTCCAACGGGTAGTGCAAAGAAGGTGGATTTAACATACTAAATTTTTTCTACTACTTATTCAAAGTAGTAGACAAAATAAAGTGTGCATGTCAAAGCAATAAAGCATATCAAGGTCACCAAGAAGCAAGAAGTAAAAAAAGTAAAACCATATCACATTTCTGGTAGATCTCCCTAGTATCATCTCCCCTGCAAATGTAGAAAAAACATATAACAATAAAAAATGGCTATATTAGTTCTCCAAGAAAAATGAACTGAGCAAGTAAAAAATGCAAAGAGAAAAATTCTAATTCTAATTCTAAATAGTCATTTTTTAAAAATACTCTTATAATGGATAATGTGAATAAGTGAGATTTAACATACATATCTGAGATGAAAGCAAGTAAATCAGACAAAGATATAATGGATCCCTCCAAAAACAATTTCCTACGGGTAGTGCAAAGAAGGTGGATTTAACATACTAAATTTTGTCTACTACTTATTCAAAGTAGTAGACAAAATAAAGTGTGCATGTCAAAGCCATAAAGCATATCAAGGTCACCAAGAAGCAAGAAGTATAAAAAAAGTAAAACCTTATCACATTTCCGGTAGATCTCCCTTGTATCACATTTCCCAAAATGAAGTGAGTTAATTAATATTCCCTCCGGTTCTTTTTAAACTTCAGTGTTTGACTTCACAGTTATTAAGGAAATAAAGTTGACTTTACTGTAGAGTACACTGTTGAGACACTGTTTGACACTGTTGAGACACTGTTTGGCACTGTTGAGACACTGTTTGGCACTGTTTAGCACTGTTTAACACTGTTTTGATGTATATTTCTTTGCCAAATAAGAAAATAAGGAAGTATGAAGTTTATTTTGGACCGTCCCAAAAAGGAAAGTGTGAAGTTTATTTAGAACCGGAGGGAGTATATATAGGGGAAAACTGTCAAATAGGTCCTCGAACTTTCATAAAAAAAGTCAATTAAGTCCTTCTATAGGAGACTTTGTACGGTCTTCGCGATTTGGGGCGGTTCCAGATGGAATTTTTTGATGAAATTTTTTGAGCATCTTATTTATCAAAAGGTGCTAGACATTCGCACATAGTGAGAGAACCGAGAGAGCAACTGCACTATATGGCTATATGAATACAGTGTTCATCAACGTAACATCAATTTGGTATTCAATACATCAATTCTTCCCTTCATTCTTCTCTTTTTTTTTTCAACCATATTTTTCTTATTGAAAAAGAAAACAATACAATCTGAAAAGGAAATACAAGAAACAAATTAAAACAGTACAGAAAAGAAAAACCCAAAATTACACCCAAGGAAATTCTCTAGACTGAGACACAGTCTTTGTGACGCCTTTTATTCTTTTGAGATTTCCTGTAATCCTTTAGTTGCGTGTTCAAATTGTCTGTAGGCAGTCAATTTTCTGAGGTAACAAACTTGGATTTTTTTACAAATCGCTCTGTTGAATTTTGATTTCACAATTTCTGCCGGAGCTGAGATAGGGGGAAGACGATCGCTTTCAGTTACATGTCCCAGAAAGTCATCCAAGTAAAAAGAATCATCTGATTGGTAAAAGTTGTCAGAAGCATCTGAGTATGCTTGAATAAGCCTGTGGTATTCTACTGGAGTTGGAAATCACTGTTTCTCTGAGTAGGCTTCCCGAATTTGACAATAAAAAATAAGCTTTGATATTAATGTTGGCTCCTCTGTAAGTAGCGTGGTTTCTTGTAGGCAATCCATAGGTTCCTCCTGTACTGAATCTGAAAATCTCACAAAATTAGAGAAGACTGCCATGAATTCGAGCACTCTTGATTGGTGCCTGCCCCCGGGAATTGTAATGGAATGTCCTTTTTCTTTGGCAATTTTTATGTAGCTGCATGCTTTATTAAAATTTGAGGAGACCGAAATTGGTCTGAATCTCTTTAATTGCGGGTGGAAAAGGCCGGTTCCTGTGAGCTCATAAATACAACGGATGATTTGAGGAGCCAAATCAAGATTGAAACTAAAGGTTTTTTATTCTACTTTAATAGAATCAAATCCCTCTTGTCCAAAGAAGTGGAATTTATCGGGGCCCTGAGAATTGGTAGCTGATTCAAACTGGAGATTATCTGTATCTAAGATAATAATATCTTTAATAACAGTAAGGGGAAAGGTACAAATATACCCCTGTAGTATGGGTGTGGGAACAAATATACCCCTGTTCTATTTTTCGGAACAAAGATACCCCTGAACTTCTAAAAAGGTGCAAAAATATCCCTCATGTTTTTATAAAGGGGCAAGTTAATCCTTCTTGACTTTAAATTAATAAAATAAATTTCAAAAAACACCAAATATAAATTATAAATTCGAAATTTAAAAACAAAAAGTTTTAAAAATGTAATAGTGTCTAATTCTCCCTTTTATAGTTTTTATATCACAATTTAATATTGTTTAAGCATGAAATATTATTTCAAAATTTTACTATATGGTTAAAATTCTTTTGAAAAGGTGCAACATATTTTTTGCAATGTATAGAAACAATATTTTTTTGCATTTTTTGCACTATAAAATTACATATTTTAAAATAATACTTTATACTTAAAATATTAAATTGTGATATAAAACAATAAAGGGAGAAATGGACACAATTACATTTTTAAAATTTTTATTTTTTAATTTGATTTATTAATTTATTTTTGGTCTTTTTTGAAATTTATTTGATTAATTTAAAGTCAATCAGGATTATTTTGCTCCTTTATAAAAAATGAGGGATATTTTTGCACCTTTTTAAAAGTTCAGGGGTATATTTGTTCCGAAAAATAGAACAGGGGTATATTTGTTCCTCCACCTATACTACAGGGGTATATATGTACCTTTTCCCATAACAGTAATGTTATTATCAATTGAACTGTTTGTTGCGGCTGAGAGTGGGAGTGTAGCTGGGCCCGGGTGGTTTTATCCTTGTCAGCCCGAAGTAGATCAACCCATGTTTGAGTGGGGTTTCCGGGTGAGCTACCTGGGTCAAACCTTTTGTCTGCATCTTCGGTGTCTTTGGAATTGATTTTGCTTCTGCTTTTTTTTAAAACAGAAGCAGAAGCAGAAGCAGAATCAGAATCAGTTTTCAGAAGCTGGTACCCCCTTGCTTCTAAAAAACTGATTCTGAGAGTAAATTAGAGCACCAAAAGTGCTTCTGAAATTTCATTCTAACACTCCAGCTTCTGCTTCTGCACCCTGAATAAGCATAATCAGTTTTGTGAATCAAATCCAAACTCGAGCTCATTAACCGTAGATGCCATATCAGGCCATGTGAGCAGTTTGGCAGTATGGCCTGGGTCTGACTAACAGGTTGACGATCCAGACTTGCATCCTTCGTAAATGGCCTTACCAAAGGAGCCTTATCATCTTCTCCGCTTCCGGCTAACTTTCCCTGCGCAGGTGAGAAATTCAACGAGGCTGGTTGAGAGCCAGACTTCTCCACGCCTTTGGTTGTCCCGTTAGACGGTGCCTTTTTGAGCTTTCCGTCAGGGTGAGATCGATTCTGAATCTCAGGCCTGCTGCATACCCCATGACGACGATAATTTGCAGGGGTTTTTGAATCGATTGTAGGGATGTGTCTGTTCTTTATAAGACTCTTGTGTGGGTAGGGGGTAATAGACGCTGTCATCTTCAGATTCAAGTAAAAAGAAACGATTAGGATATAACCGGGTTGAATCTCGGAAGTGGTGGGAGTATGAGGTTCGTCTTATGTGACGTACTGTTCTCCAAGAGAATATCATTAGGAAAACTTATTTCTCATTCTTCAAATTTTAAACATGATTGTATTTCTTGTCGTTTGGGTAAATCTCAGCGATTACCCTTTACAGATGCTAGTCATAATTCTACTTCTCCATTACAGTTAATTCATTCTGATGTGCGACAATCTCCAATTTTATCTAATTTAGGTTTTAAATATTATGTGTGCTTTATTGATGACTTTTCTCGCTTTACTTGGATTTACCCATTGCGCACCAAACATGAAGTCTTTTCTCAATTTCGTCTCTTTAAACTTTTAGTTGAGAATTTTTTTTATTCTAAAATTAAAGTTTTTCAAAGTGATAGAGAGGGTGAGTTTGTTAATTTTTCTATGCAACAATTTTTGGCCGAAAATGGTATTGCTGAACGCAAACATCGCAATCTTTTGGAACTTGCTCGAACTATGCTTATTACAGCTTCAATTCCTAGTATTTTTTGGGTGGATGCTATTTTTACGGCTGTCTATATTATTAAGAGATTACTCTCTCCTACTCTTTTTGGTGTTTCACCATATGAAAAACTCTTTCACAAAATTCCTGACTAAAGTTTGCTTCGTGTTTTTGGGTGTGCTTGTTATCCGAATTTTTCTGCTTCTTCTTCCAACAAGCTGTCACCACGTTCTGTTCAGTGTGTTTTTCTTGGCTATGCATCTGGTTTTAAGGGGTATCGCTGTCTTGACCCCAAATCTGGCAAGGTATTTATTAGTAGACATGTTCATTTTCATGAAAATATTTTTCCATATGCCACTTTGTCTTCATCTACGAGTCATGAATCTCCATCATCTTCTTCATCTAGTCCTGAAGATTTTACTCTTATCAATACCACACCTAACTCTATGCCTCCAGTCCCAACCATATCTCTTCCACCACCCACTGAACACTCCAACACACTCCCAACGCCCTCAACTCTTCCTACTTCACCACGGCAAACCACTGCTCAAACACCTCCCTCCAAATCACCTTACAATTCCCGAACCCCATCACTACCAAGCCCTCACTCGACCCACCCCAGTCCTGCTCCAGCCACTACCTTACCTTTCTCTCGGCCTGCAACTCCTTCCCACGAAACAGATGAGCCTGAAGCAGCCTTCACCCATCCTGGTGATGCTCCAGTTGTGCAGCCGCAGCTACCGGCCAGTACACCGGATACATCTTCGTCTGGTCCGCTGGCAAATTGCCACCCCATGCAAATTCGGGCTAAGTCGGGCATTTTTAAACCCAAAATGATTCTTAATTTAAAAACAGTTGCTTTATCAGCTGATCCAACTTGTTTTTCAGAGGCTAACAAACAGTTAAAATGGCGTGCGGCAATGGCGGAGGAATTTAATGCTCTTATTTCTAATAATACTTGAGATTTAGTTCCGTTTGATCACACTAAAAATGTTGTGGGCTCTAAGTGGATTTATAAGACTAAATATAATTCTGATGGTTCTATTGAGCGTCACAAAGCTCGATTAGTTGCTCAGGAGTTTAAGCAACAGGCCGGTGTGGATTTCTCTGAAACCTTTAGTCCGGTTATTAAACCCACCACAGTTCGTATTGTTCTTACTCTTGCTATTTGTTTTGGATGGGTTATTCGTCAGTTGGACGTTAAAAATGCCTTTTTGCATGGTCTCATTGTGGAGGTATATATGTGTCAACCGCGGGGTTTTATTCATCCCTCATTTCCTAATCATTTATGTCGTTTGCGAAAAGCCATTTATGGGCTCAAGCAAGCCCCGCGGGCCTGGTTTCATAGGTTTAGTAGCTTTTTACTTTCTCATCATTTCACGTGCAGCCGGTGCAGCAAGTCTAATAATTCATTGTTTATTTTTCGTCATAATAATAATGTCATTATTTATTACTTTATGTTGATGACATCATTATTACCGGCAATTCTGCTGCTGCTATCACTTCTTTTATTCAGCTTGTTGCTCAGCATTTTGCTATGAAGGATCTCAGTGATCTTCATTATTTTTTAGGAGTCTAGGCTGTCCACTCAGATAAAGGTTTGTTTCTATCCCAGCATAAGTATGTTTCTGACCTTCTATCTCGATTTCATCTCCATACTCTCAAGTCTGTCCGTACTCCGCTTGCTACTCGCACTTCTTTATCCCTCACTGATAGGGAACTTCTTCCTGATGCTACTGAGTATTGTAGTATGGTTGATGCATTACAATATTTAACTTTGACACAACCTGATATTACCTATGCTGTGCATTTAGTGTCTCAGTTTATGCATGCTCCTCGTACTACTCATCTTTTTGCTGTCAAGAGGACTTTTAGATACTTGCAGGGGACTATTGAGCATGGTTTGTGGCTTCAGCCTACATCTCGAGCTACTTGTGTCATTGCCTACTCTGATGCTGATTGGGCTGGCTGTCCAGATACGTCCCGTTTCACAACCGGTTTTGCAGTTTTCTTGGGTCCGAATCTTGTCTCCTGGAAGTCCAAAAAACAGCCTACTGTCTCCAAATCCTCTACAGAAGTTGAATACAAGGCCATTGCTTACACTGTTCAGGATACCCTGCATATTTGTTCCGTATTGTTTGAGCTCGGCCATCCCATCATTACGCCGGTCCAGCTTTTTTGTGATAATATTTCTGCTTCCTATCTCACTGCTAATCCAATTCAGCATGCGCATAGCAAGCACATTCAGATTGACTATCACTTCATCAGGGAGCGTGTGGCTCATGGAGATCTAATTGTGAAGTACATCCCACCTCAGTTACAGTTAGCTGACATTTTTACTAAAAGTCTTTCTAGTCACCAATTTCATTTTTTAAAAGACAACCTGCGCGTTGTATCTCCCGCACAGTTTGAGGAGGTGTAATAGAACATCATTAGGAAGATTTGTTTTCTATTCTATATGAAACTCTTTTATTATAAATACTAAATAGACATATGGGGTTCCTATTGGGGTACCTTTTCCCGTTTATTCACACGTAGGAGGTGTGGAATGGATGTAAACGAATTACATCAGTCCTTTGAACTCCGGTAGGATTTCTGGCCGGTTTTACCCTCCGATTGAAATCTGGGATCGTGACTAATTCTGGATGGTAGTGATGAGAATAGGGGTTGGTGTAGAAACGATTACCTGTGTGCGAGTGGACTCTGTTTCTAGTGTTGTTGCTGTCGTATGTGTTGTAACAGGAACGAGCATACCGGTGGAGAGGAGGGCCACTGTAGGGAGTCTGGATCCGTTGAGGAGCTCTCCGGTGGGTGAAGAAGCTATCTACCCTATTACAGGTCCTGTTCTTCGTGCTATTCCAGTAGCAAGGAATGTTTCCTGGGGGTTATTTTGAGTGTAAAGCCTTTGTTCATGTTTGAAGGGGTAAGGAATCCGGTGATGTTGATGCCGGAATTCCATTTCTGGAAGTCAAAAGACTGGAAATCTATAGAGAAGGAGGAGATTCTCTTTCTTCATGTTTTTGTGAAGAAGTGTCCTTTCATTCTTCTCTATTTCAAAAGTTTGTCAATAACTCAAAAACTTTGTCATTTCAAAAGTAGGTAGATTAAGAATAGTGAAAAAGGATATGAATTATTGAGGATACGATGGGAAGATAGTAGAATAATGTGATGGTATGTAGGATAAATCCAAAAAAGTAGTTGTAATAGTGTATTATTTTTAAAATTATTGAGGGTATGATGGGGAGATTTAGAAATGTGAAGATTTTTTGTTACGGACGAAAAAGAAAGTGAGAAGGTTTTTTTGTTACGGAAGGAGTATTTTTCATTATATGTGATTTTTGGAAATGGGACAAATAGATTGCATGAATTGCTTTCTTATATGAATGATATCAAATTAGAAATGATACTAAAGATAAATTTACTTGAACTTATTTCAGTTTTGCTAGACTAAAATAAATTTAAATAGATCAAACTGGACTAACCATACTTCGAGTGTTGTAAATACGCATGACCACTTCGGACCTGATCCGACTTAAATAGACTACATCAATCCAAACTAAAAATTAAGTCCATTTAAAAACATTCTTACACTAACACATAGTTTTTCAAATTCTATTCTCATTAATGTATCTATCTATCATAATCTATTTTGAATATCAGTATTCAACGATTGAATGACACATATTGGGCCAATTAATGACTACTTCAAAGTAGATGGATTACGTTGAATGTAGAAGGGAGAGAAGTCACTATAGATATGAAGCATTGCTGGATATGGCAGACTTATCTTTTGCTTCACTTAAAATAAAATACGTAATCTCAATCATGTTCAACATATATAAAATGTTAGTTCACACATCTTATAGCTAATATCTTGTCAAGAATTCTTTGTAATTGATTTATCATTGTGGTCGGGCCGGTAAGCCTGCAGTCCCTATATGTCCAAATCCAAACCTATCCTGGACTTGGACGCTGCACGAACCAAAATCTCCAATTCTTATTTTTTTTGCAAACCCAAAATCTCCAATTCTATAAACCAAAAGAGATATGAATGCTGATTTTGTTCTTAGTACGGATTACATATAGGAGATGCCTTGTGTCGGATAAGACTTGTGGACCATATCTTTACATATAAACCCTCCTAAGATTGCTTTGGAGGTATCCTTTTGCCTGGTGATATATACTATATTGATTGAAAAGACATAAATAATGACATAAAAGAGGGACACAAGTAGGAATTAGAGTTAGAAAAAGCTATTTGTAGACCAAATTTTTACACATTTTGTGTACACAGTCAGGTCGTTCTGAAATTGTCTGTATACACATGTAACTAGAAATGTGTACGCAAAATGCATATAAATTTTGTATACATAGCATGACTCTTAGAGTTGAGCTAAATTGAACACTAATTACACATGGAGTATATGCGAGGTTTAAAAAAATATCGAGTAGACTAAATGGGAAAACAGAAAAAATTTACATTAATTTTTTTTAGAAAAACTTAGAATGGCAATCTACCATAGCTTTAAGATAGATCCGCCTCCAGGAGTACGGCAATCTCAATTCTTCTTTCCTCCATTTCCCATTAACTTTACGGTTTACACATACATTTGCAAAAAAGAAGTTCAGACTTGCTAATTTCTCTACGTATAGTACTCCACTATGTTTTATCTTAGTATAATAGCAGACATAGCAGGGTATAAATATATTCAATAAGCTATCTTGTTCAAGTTTTATCTTAGTATAATTGGCAGTGTATAATTATCCTCCGTATTCAATAAGCTATCTTGAACAGTTATCACATTAACTAACTTAAATATTTATAAGTACATGTAATATGACAAAAATGCACTAAAGTCAACCAAGCTAAATATAATTAAGTTATATTTGGTCCGAATAACCAGAACCAAATCTTTCTTCAATACTCTTAAACATTTTCTTCTTCTCACAAGTTACTCCAAACACAGATTTCTATAGTCCATGGTGCACATGCAGTGAATGAACTATATATTTGTCCAAGTTAGAAGATGCATGAAAATATTTTGTCAATTATACAAATTCAATTAGGTCTTGATAGTTTCCTGTGTATCTAGCCTTGTCCTTAATAGTTGTATTGTGCAATACAATTGATGCCATTACTTTCTTTCCAAGTAAAGATTTGTCTCATACAAGAGCGGGTTTTTGTAGTATTGCAAATCACGCTTACAACACTCCAAACGTGCAAGCCCTATATATTTTCTTACCGCCTATTGACATTGAGTGAGCAGTGCATCTATAGCGGATTTATGATAGGCTAAGGTCAAGCCTATATATATGTTGGCATGTTTCATGTTTTGGATATGTCACATATGTTCAATATTACCTTATTACCTTATATTGTACATATGTCAGTTTACTTTTTGTTCAAGACAACCGTGATAAAAAACTTGGCAAACCTCCCCCACCAGCAGAAGTAATCAGTGCGATCGTTGACACCTTTAAGCGTCCGAGGTTTTCAAATAGTTCATGTCACAAAGGTAACAAAGTAACTCTTTAATTGACAATCCCAATCGCAAGGTTCGCAACTTCTTGCTCGTTGACACCTTGACTGTTAGATTCCTCATAAAATCCATGTCATGCCAAGCTCATGCCCCTCATGGCGCACACGCAGCCCATGCACACATTGCCCATTAGGAATTTCATGGTTTCATCAAACCAACCACAACCATGAGTAATTGTCATCCCCACATACTCATCCCCACATAGTCATTCTCCTTTGAACTCACTCGATTCAAGGCATCCAACTGTTGGTTCTTTAGACTTGCATGTGATCCGCTACAAGTGGTTACCGTCAAACCCCAACAACCAACCTTGGATCTTTACTTCATCCACTTGCTTATGTTGTCACGATGATGTCATCAGACCTTAGCTTCTCTTAAGATGTGGGCGTGTTTGGTTCCTCTTTCTCATTGTTTCTGGTTAAACCATTTGACATCAAACACTCCACCAACCCATATGCCATGTCCATGGTACTCGACATATCCTTCACGACTTACCTTCTTAACTCCATGTCTACCCATGCATGGCCATAGTACAAACACAAAGTTATAAAGGTTTTCCTCCTCGGTGATGTTCTTAACGTTCGACATAATTGATATGAGCTCCTTGATATAATCCCCAGGCCCCCATAGATGTCTTGTCCTTAAACTTAATCAACTCTTCTATGAGCTGTCCATCCACAAGACATTTCTTGGATGGAATTGTATATTCAAATCCTAATTTAGTACCTCTCTTGACTCAACCTGTTCCCTTGCCATATTGGCATGTGCCCAATAGAAAAGTTCTTAAGTTCATATTGTTTTCCTATTTGCCAAATGGCTTCAATATGATATTATAATCTTCAAAAAACCCACTTCAACACTTGACTTCAATTCCCAGTCAAAAGTGATTACCAAGACATGAGCTTTTGCCATGATGGAGACCAAGCGAAGGAAGATGGTCATGTGAAATATTCTGTAGAATTTTTAGAAGAGATGAAGGATCAATTTCTTCTACCATTGTGTAGGAAAGCACAAACAATGGCTATTTGTTGCGCTTTACGTATGTGTTTCTTCAAGGGTGAACATGGAATGGGCTTTATATAATAGTAGTAAGGGATCGGCAAACAGTGTGAAATACTATGATGAACATCATAGTGCTGATTTTATATCCACTACTTCCATTAGTTATTCCATGCATATATATTAACATTGCTTGGGGCATAGCTCATCAAGTGAAAATGAGGTCTCACAAAGGAAAGTCTCACACTCAACTCCAAGCAAAGACTTAGGCTGCTAGACCCTTGCTCTCTTTTCCCTTGTTTGTGATCAAAATTCAATTTACTTCTTTTCAGACAACTGTTCGGCTGGGTTTGCTGGGCCCCTAAAGATGGGGTATCATCCTACACAGTCACACAGATGTATATCAATGCTAAAAACTTGAAATTTGAAAAGGGTTACAAATCATATTTGTGTTATTTTGATGGGTAGCAAAAATGCAAGGCTATCGCAGAGGTCCATCAAACAACTCGTCCACTACACAGAAGATTGGTGACACTACGTGCCATCATTTCATAAATTTTAGGGCTTCTCCAAAAAGCTCTTACACATGCATGTGCATTTAATGCAACACACTTAGAGGGCGTTTGATTTGATTTAAAATAATTATTTTTCATGTGAAGTGTAAAGACGTAAAATGTTCACATAGTTTGGCTTGATTATTTAATGTATAATGTAGGACACTTTTTAAAAATATTTTGAATTGTACCATGTGAAGTATATTACGTGGGGGGAGGATCGTAAAATACTTTGCATTCTTTTTACAAAGCACTACAACGCCTTTGCATGCAGATTAAAAATAATTTGTATGTCTAGCCAAACAATGTATAATCTATTTTACATGCGACTTGTTCACTAAACTTTACTTGCAATAATTTCGCTTGTAAGGATTTGATGTGTAAACTAACAAACACACCCTTAGTATTTATTACTACTACAAATATCACCTCTAGGGAAAATGTAACTATTGGGAAAACATCAATACATCATATATCTTTCTTTCTCTCTATACTTTGTTCTGCCTTTTCTCTTGATATCACTTGCAGTATTTCAGTCAGTTACCATTTGGTCCTCTAATCGAGAGAACTCTCATCGCTATAAGAGAACAGTAGCAGCTCAGAAGACAGGTAAGACCAAAAGATCTAAGCAACCAAATGTTGTTGCCCATTCCCCTCATCCCCAACAGGAGAGGTACAATGCAACAACCTCATTTGAGGCTAGGAGGGCTGCTCGAGACGTACTCATGTGTAATGAGACTGATCAACCCATTGACATCCCCACCACCTTCCACCAGAACGGCCTCGACACTCGGATCACCATTGAAGCCAAAAGGAAGGAGAGGAGTGAATCCACTCTAACAGCTCAACAAACTACGCCACCTACTCTATTTGGTGGTAGGCATCTAGATGGCACTCTAGATCATCCTCACCAAAACAGGTCAGAACCTCGCCGCCTTTAGTGCCCACATCCCTTAGAAAGGCCGGGAGAGCATGTAACACCCTACATCCGCATTTCGATCGCCATTCACTCGCTAATATCACCTGCGTTCCGTTTAAAGATTCCCATTGCAAAAGGGCTCAATTATGTATAAAATAATTAAATGATAATTTGAGTATATTTTGAGAAATAATTTTGATGGTTATATAATATAATCGGGTCATTGATGAAAATTGTGATGTTACAGATGGATTATT